CAAGAAAGGTGTGGCATCCTTGCAGGTTTCAGTGTGAAGAGCCACCCTGATCCTGGGATTGCGATAGGAATAAGCACAGTGGAAGTGTTTTTTAAAAATCTGAATTCCCCAGGGAAATATTATGGCCAATTTTTGAGGAAGCAGCTGTGCTCCCTTTTGGGTAGTGCTGACTTGGGTGCTTGAGGATTCGTGGTGTCTCATGTGAGGCTGCATCATGTGGTGTGAGTGTGTGCGTTTCTGTACAGATGAGGCTGTGTGTTTCCTCAGGAAAGATTTCCCATTTATACAACCCAATTGCAGGTGTCCACTTCTAAAAATAAAATCCACCCCCCGCCCACTGTCTCTGTCCAGTGACTCCTGCACCCTCACCAGAGCCATCCCTGGGTCTGTCTTATTATCCCCACTGCTCAGGTGGAGATCCTGAAGGGCCAAGGAGGTGGCCCCAGCTCCCGAGTTCCTGAATGAAAAATTGAAAACATGAACCCAGGAGTGTGGGCCTGTGCTGACGCTGACATGCACTTAGTCATGGGGTGTTCGCCACCACACAGGGAGTCCAGCATTCATGTATAAGCCCTAAAGCACCGAGCCCAAAAGGCCCCAGACACAGCCTATCATCATAAAGTGACCTCCATGGTCACACAACCCAGGGCAGTTCTAGGCACATCTCCCCATGGGCCAGCGTAGTCATCAGTGTGTCAAAAGCACAAAGATCCCCGGGGGTTTGGGTCAGCTCACAGAGCCTGTTTTTGTTGTTGTTGCAGTTGTTGTTGTTGTTTTTAACTTTTAAGTTCAGGGTTACATGTGCAGGATGTGCAGGTTTGCTACATATGTAAATGTGTCGTGAGACACATTTACATATGTAAATGTCATGAGAGTCTGTTGTACAGATTATTTCATCACCCATATATTAAGACTAATATCAGTTATTTTTCCTGATCCTCCCCTTCCTCCCACCTCCCACCCTCCAGGAGGCCCCAAGCTCACAAATTCTGAGAGGAGTGGGGGACCACGCAGGCCAGTGCGGCCCACTTCAGTTGTGAAGTTAATTTGCTCAGCAACTTAACAAAGCCTATAAGGATGGGTGATGTATTTTAGTAGATTTAGTAATACTATCTTCCCAAGCCCTAAAATGCTCAAATCCTGCCAGCTGAAAATGGTGAGGAGGGACAGATGGGAACTCTGTGCAGCACTTGGTTATTAGCCTGGCTTCCGTCCCCTTGTGGCAACTCTCTTGTGCATGTGGGTTAAAGACCCTCAGCCTCAAGCCAAGCCGCCTCCATGAGGAGCCATCTCACTATTGACTGGCCAGTGCGGTGTATGGCCACCAGCCCAACTGAAACAAAATGTGGCTTTAAAACAAGTGTAAATCTCATACAACAGGCAAATGCAGAAGCAGCATGTCTTGCAAGTTGTAAAGAAGACGGTCACAATGTCGCTGGACTTCAACCTGGGTAGAAGAAATGAGGGAACTCTGTCACTGAATCACAGCAGAGTTCAAAGCCACTTGTAGACTATTTTGTGTTACAGAAGGTGGCCTTTAGCTACTAAGCAAAGGCCTCTGTTTCTCATTTCTTTCCTGTTCATCTTCTTGGTCATCCTTCTTCCACGAGAGAAAAGAGCCCGAGCAAAAGGCAGTTTCAATATTAATCTGACTGAAGTTTTGTGCAGTTTATTATCATCCAGGTAATCAGGTGCAACCCGGTCTGCCTAACAGCCCCCGTATCCCTGCTGTGTGTTTTCATTTAATAAATATTTTGTTCTACTTACTATGTGCTAGATTTTCTGGAGACCACAAAGTAAATGAGATAGAATCTTTATGTTGACAGCTACGTTGGATTTAACATAACTGACAAAAATTAAAATTTCTGATTTCTTGTAAAAATATTTAGTATGTGTGAATGCATACTGAATGTAAAGTGGTTAACAAAAAATCACACTTGCACTCATGGAAGGCTTTTCATGAATTTGTCAGTTTCTTTTTTTCAATATTTCCCCACTTCTCTGGATAATGCATATCTGAACTTGGAAACTGATTCCCACTGCAGAAAGTGTTCTGAGCCACATCCCTTAGCTTCACTGGTGCAGATCCACCCGGGAGGGTGGCCCAGCATCAGCTTGGCCCATGCTGTGATCAGCCACCTCCATGCACCACACCAAGCAAGCTCCCTGGGTGATTCACAATCTCCACCACCAGGGCACTGACCTTTATTCTGTGTTCTCCTAGCTCCCCAAGAGGACACTGTACACGACATCACTAATGAGGATGCTGTACATGACATCGCTAATGAGGACACTGTACAAGACATCGTTAATGAGGACACTGTATACGACATCGCTAATGAGGACACTGTATACGACATCGCTAATAAGGACGTTGTATATGACATCGCTAATGAGGACGCTGTATATGATGTCACTAATGAGGACACTGTATACTACATCGCTAAAGAGGATGCTGTACAAGACATCGCTAATGAGGACACTGTATACGATGTCGTTAATGCGGATGCTGTATATGACATCGCTAAAGAGGACACTGTACAAGACATCTCTAATGAGGAAGCTGTATACAACATCACTAATGAGGACGCTGTACAAGACATCGCTAATGAGGACACTCTATATGACATTGCTAATGAGGACATTGTATATGACATTGCTAATGAGGATGCTGTACAAGACATCACTAATGAGGACACTGTATATGACATCGCTAATGAGGACGCTGTATACAACATCATGCTAATGAGGACACTGTATACAACATTGCTAATGAGGATGCTGTATACGACATCGCTAATGAGGATGCTGTACAAGACATCGCTAATGAGGATGCTGTATATGACATCGCTAATGAGGATGCTGTATATGGCATCGCTAATGAGGACACTGTATATGACATTGCTAATGAGGACGCTGTACAAGACATCACTAATGAGGACACTGTACGACATCACTAATGAGGACATTGTATACAACATCGCTAATGAGGATGCTGTATATGACATCACTAATGACACTGTACACGACATCGCTAATGAGGACGCTGTATATGACATCGCTAATGAGGACACTGTATATGACATTGCTAATGAGGACGTTGTATATGACATCACTAATGAGGACACTGTATAAGACATCACTAATGAGAATGCTGTATGCAATATCGCTATATCGCTAATGAGGACACTGTATATGACATCACTAATATGGACACTGTATATGACATCGCTAATGAGGATGTTGTACAAGACATCACTAAAGAGGACACTGTATACGACATCGCTAATGAGGACGCTGTACGTGACATCGCTAATGAGGAAGCTGTATATGAGGTCGCTAATGAGGACGCTGTATATGACATCGCCAATGAGGACACTGTATACGAGGTCACTAATGAGGATGCTGTATATGACATCGCTAATGAGGACACTGTATAGAACATTGCTAATGAGGACGCTGTACAAGACATCCCTAATGAGGACGCTGTATACGACGTTGCTAATGAGGACGCTGTACACGACATCACTAATGAGAATGCTGTATACGACATCGCTAATGAGGACACTGTACAAGACATCTGTAAAAAAGAAGATGCTGCCAAGGTAAGACACTTTTGTCTTGAACCGAAATGATACTTTCCTGGCTTCTTTCTAATCAGATGTAGACACGAACATCTGCCAATGTGCATTATCATTGTCACCTGCAATTTAATCAAATGTAGACATGAACATCTGCCAATGTGGATTATTTATGACATCCACAATGCCCTTGGTGTGATGCTATTGATTGGGAGCCTCTCATCAACCCATGCCGGGCACACTGGGGCGTGGTAGATGGCAGCATCCACGATCCACTGCAATGCAGAGGTGTTTCCCTCCACAGCAGTTTCCCCCCGTGGATTAAGGTTGTGAAACTGCCAATCTAGATACACTTCAAAGATAAATTCTGTGGGAAAAGGTCTTGTCTTTTTCATAGGTGTCCTCAGTGCTAGTTTTGGGGGACTCCGACCTCTGACTCAGTCACTATACCCCTTCTTATTTTCTCCAGTTGTTGAGAGAATATCAGATCTGTGTGACGTGCATGGCATCATTTCACCCTCCTAATGTTTCCTTTTCTATAACTGCAGGAGCCATTGACAGTGGAGAATGGTACGTACCCTGAAATAACTCATTTCCTGACGGAAAAATGCTGTCTCTAGGGTACAGAAACCTGATTCTGGGCTCCTTTTGGGGAGGAGGATTTGGGGTCTGGTGAGAGCAAATGATTTTGCAAGTATAAAAAAATGTTCAGCCGGGCGCGGTGGCTCAAGCCTGTAATCCCAGCACTTTGGGAGGCCGAGACGGGCGGATCACGAGGTCAGGAGATCGAGACCATCCTGGCTGACACGGTGAAACCCCGTCTCTACTAAAAAATACAAAAACTTAGCCGGGCGAGGTGGCGGGCGCCTGTAGTCCCAGCTACTCAGGAGGCTGAGGCAGGAGAATGGCATAAACCCAGGAGGTGGAGCTTGCAGTGAGCTGAGATCCGGCCACTGCACTCCAGCCTGGGCGACAGAGCGAGACTCTGTCTCAAAAAAAAAAAAAAAAAAATGTTCAGAGAGGCTGGAGGGATGTCTGTGAGCCCAGAGGAAACACCAGGGGATCCTGTGGGAAGCACGGGGGCTTCAGCTGGGGTAGGAGGAGTGGGCCTGTCTCTAATGACTTATCCTGATGTTTGTGTTTCTAAAGATTTGATTATGGAGAGCATATCTGATGATGAGGATTTTGCAGGTAGGTAACTACTTTCCATGTAAGATTCAATGGGCGAGAGTTCCCAGGGGCCTTCAGGGTATCCATACTGTTTGGGAGGTTGAGGGAGGGGGCATGAAATCAAAAAGAAAAAGGAAATATGTGTCAAATTGGATTTTGTCTTTTCCAAGTTTCTTGCCACAATGTAAGAACTGTCTCTGGGCTGTGAGGGTGTTGTGTGATTTAACGGTGATCTTTCCCAAAACAGCTGGCCTTTTCTCTTCCAACCCTACCAAACATCAACCCAAAGGGAAACTTCCTTCCTAACCTTTTATGATATTAGAGGTTGGACTAGTCAGTACCCCTTGGGATTGTGCAGAAGAGGTTTGGGGTTGCATCCAGCGGCACCTGTGGCGAACAGAATCTGAGGACACAACTCCCTCACAGGCACTTACTTGAACCTGGAGACAAAGTTCTCCTGGTGTGTGCCCAGGGGTGCAGGAGAAATTGATGGTCGTCCTCTGAACTTTTAGGACTTTAAAAAGCAGTCATGTTTCCATCCTCGCTGTTGACTCCTGGTTTAAAAGGATCTCCCAGGGTGAGTGAGGAGGCGGGATCGGACCCTGGCAGTCTGATGGCAACACCTGTGTTCCTCTGCGCTGGGCCATGGACGACATTACACACCTTGGTGAGAATCAGGAATTGAGGCTAACCACATCTGGAATTGAGATGGGCCTTGAGTCATATAATTAGGTTGGAAAAGGTGCATTTTACTACTCTATTGAAAGAAACCATTTATTCCTCACTCCAGCAGGATAAAAGGTTTTCAGTATCCCCTTAACTGCTCATTGACTCTTATTGTAGATCAGGAGGTGGCAAGCAGCCCCTGCCCTCCCCCCGTTGCAGGCCCAAGGTAACCAGCAATTGACTGCATATAATGGAAGAGTGGTGCATTTGGAGGTGTCTGTATTAATGGGACCCACATGATATGGGTCAGAGCTAGGGTGAGAAAAAACCTGGGAGCACAATGAAATATTTGAATATCAAACAAAACATTATTGAAATCTCCATTGCACTTTAGTAGTTGAAGTCATTCCTGTGGTCATCACTGCCTTTCCCAAGCATAACAAGCTACTTAATATCACACGGACCCATGCCATGAGGAATGACGATCAGTTTGTAAAATGCCAATAAAGCCATTGCCTGTATAAGCCATGATATTTCATCCGTATATTTCAATGTCCATGTGTAAATATAGTTCAAATGTCAGAAATTTATTATTATCTAGTAGACTATGCATGGTATATCAATGAGCGATAACCCTCATACTCTTTCTATTAATAATTATTTGTATGATGAAAAATGCAGACTCCCATTCTTGGATTTTTCTCAGTTTGCACACATTAGCATGACCACCCATGTCCACCTGACATGTACCAGCAGGAGGCCAGGAACAGAGGCTTTTCTTATTAACCAAGATTTCTAAATGTATTACATATTCAAGGTTACAAATAACTCTAAATATCATAAAAGGTTAGCAAGGAAGTTTCCCTTCCACTCCGAACTTCCAAACACCAACTCGACATTTTCATTTGCATGTCATCCCTACAATCTATGTGCAAATAGAAACATGCACCTGGCATGCATGTTTGTAAATGTTTGTAAATGTAAATCCATTGTATTGTTTCAGAGCTGTAAAGTACTGCACCCTATGACTCTTCCCAAAATTACTTAAGCACCCCCCTCTGGGTATCCATTTGTTCTGTTTCCAGTCTTGCTCTTATAACCAATGCTGTAGAGAACAGCACTGTGTTGAGTAAAAGTGGTGAATGTGGCATCTTTGTCTTGTTCCAGTCCTCAGGGGGGATGGTTTCAACTTTTCCCCATTCAGGATAATGTTGGCTGTGGGTCTGTCATAGATGGCTTTTATTACCTTAAGCTATGTCCCTTCTATGCTGATTTTGCTGAGGGTTTTAATCATAAAGAAATTCTGAATTTTGTCAAATACCTTTTCTGCATCTATTCAGATTATCATGTAATTTTTGTTTTTAATTTTATTTATGTGAAGTATCACATTTATTGACTTGCATATGTTAAACCATCCCTGTATCCCTGGTATGAAACCCACTTGATCATGGTGGATTGTCTTTTTGATATGCTATTGGATTCAGTTAGCTTGGATGTAGCATTTCTTATTATTCCAGTCTGTGGAGTGTATTGGTTTAAGTAATGAAAACATATTATATCTTCACTGCTTCACACTTTCTGTTTCTTTAATAGCCTTCCCAACAGGGCAGCATAAAAGTAGGGGCTCCGCTAGTCTCCCCTTAATCTGGAATCCCCCCTTCTCCACGACTTGCTCATTGGACAGGATAGACTGAGCACCCAGGCCTCAAAGTAAGGACACGCTCCTAGAGGTGCACTGCCTGGGAAGGCCAACCTTGGAGGAGCACTGCCGTCTGTACAGTTACAGAGGTGTTGGGAGGGACTGACCACCAATTCATAACGCTGTGCTTTGTTGGTGATGTAAAGGATTGTTTCACAGATTGTTGGGGAGTGACAATCCCAAGTCCTTGCCTGGCCCTTGTTCTGGCTCTGCACAAAAGCAATAAGAGAGGGATGCTGGTAAGGGCTGACCTGTTTCTGTGCTGGGGAGGAAGGTGCTGGTCTGAAATCCAGGAGACTGAGGATGACCTGCTGCTGTGCTGGGGAGGAAGGTGCTGGGCTGAAATTCAGGAGACTGAGGATGACCTGTTGCTGTGCTGGGGAGGAAGGTGCTGGGCTGAAATTCAGGAGGCTGAGGATGCAGCAGTCCAATAGGAGGTACATGACCTGCAGCATACAGTTTCTTAATTGATGATAAGTGGAAATGAGAAATCATTGACCATTTTTTCTGTCATTGGATATCTACTCTCTACTGTTCATGCTGTTCTTATCTTTTGGGGAAGATGGAGGATCAATCAGTGGGTGCTGCACTGAGTGGAAGGAAGGACAGCTGCAACAAAAATTAAGGGAGGATGAGGGATGAGAGGCCCTTCATCCAGGTGCTCGCAGAGCCCTCCTGAGGAGGAAAGCCCCGTGGCTGCCTGGGGAAGGAGCAGTGAGGGCTGCGTGACTCCCACAGTGAAGTGTGTGGTATGTCTGAGGACACCTGGGCTGGTCTGTGAGGAGCCAGTGGCAGAGTGAGAAGCAGCAAGGCCAGGAGGGTGGCTGGAGGCCAGGCTCTGGGTCATTCTCCATGTGATAGAAACAGCCAGACCCCAGTGGGCTGGGAGGTGCAGGACGCAGTGACTGATGACAGAACAATGCGGAGAGAGGCGCCATGTGTCAAATCTTTACTTTGTTCTGGGCATTGTGCTAAAACTTCCCACGGTTCATCCCATTTAGGGGCTGAAAGTTGTAGAGGTTTAGGAAGCTCACCCGTGATACTGGAGCCCCCATCTCCTGCCCCTTCTCACCCAGCCACCACCTGTTTCAGGGGAACACACAGAAGTAGTAACCTCTTATGGAGAGGCAAGTAAATTCTGATGTTCTTGTTATTCACAGAAAAAAACACTGGCTCATATGGTTGGGGAGGTGAAATACCAGAAGTATTTCATCTGGTTATTTCTATCTTTGTGAATCCTATAGTATTGAAATGCATAGGTTAGCATTTTCGGCCAATTTACTCAGCATTCTGGGTTAAAGACTTTTATTTTTAATTAGTTATTTGTTTGTTTGTTTGTTTGTTTGTTTATTTTGAGATGGAGTTTCGCTCTTGTCGCCCAGGCTGGAGTACAATGGCACGATCTCGGCTCACTGCAACCTCTGCCTCCCGGGTTCAAACAATTCTCCTGCCTCAGCCTCCCAAGTAGCTGGGATTACAGGCATATGCCACCATGCCCAGCTAATGTTTTCTATTTTTAGTAGAGACGGAGTTTCTCCATGTTGGTCAGGCTGGTCTCGAACTCCTGACCTCAGGTGATCCGCCCACCTCGGCCTCCCAAAGTGCTGGGATTACAGGTGTGAGCCACCATGCTCACCCTAAAGTCTTTTAAAATTCACTTGTGTAAGCTGACTTAGTTTTCTTTAGCCTTGCAGAAAAATACAAAAATGGCAATCTCTTTTATCACACAAATAATGTCTTTTTAATAGTGATTTTTTAAACTGAGGTATGATGTACTTTTCATTCACTAATTATTAATTGCTTACGTTTGAAGTGTTTTTTGAATTAATATTTAATTGCACACATGAAGATTGCTAGTCATAGGCATTTTACTAACCAACAGTCATTAAGCATAGCATGGATTCATGTGATGTCAAGGAGCGATTTTATTTGGTGAAAGGGAAAAGATAGCACGAGAACGATTGAAAGAGCTGGACCAGTGGAGACACCAACAGTGATCTGTCTAAGATCTAAATCATTCTGTTGTCTTCCCGGCCTCCTTACCATCCTGACCATTGTCATCAGCATTGTTGGGTCCTTTTAGCACAGATTTCTCAAAATGGGCAACTCCGTAACACTTGGAAGCTTACGAGTTCATAGAATTTGAAAGAGGGCAATTTAGGAGTACCCATCTATTTTAAAATTCCAGTAAAATTTCATTTCATGTCTAGAGTCTTGTATGTAAAATATTTCCACAATTAGGAGAAATATGTGCATGGGGATTTTCTACGTAGCAGTGTTTTGATAGAATAGAAAGTTGGGACAAACCAAATTTCCATCACAAAGGAAATAGTAATACACTGAATAATAATACAGTGAATATCATGCAGGCTTTAAACATCAAAAAAGAGCTCAACTTCCGACTTCTGATGATCACGTTGAAGTAGGTCACAGCTGGTTTACATTTGATTTTCGTGTGGGAAATCTGAGTGTCTGCCTTAGTGATTTTGTATGTGGTTAAATTTAGCTAATGTAAAGCTATTCGAAGTATGGAAAAACGGAACTTTAAAACACTATCTTCTCAACAACCAAGTGGACCCGTTTCGCCTAAAACCCGCACATTTGGCCCAGCACGGTGGCTCACGCCTGTCATCCCAGCACTTTGGGAGGCTGAGGCGGGTGGATCACGAGGTCAGGAGATTCAGACCATACTGGCTAACACGGTGAAACCCCGTCTCTACTAAAAAATACAACAAAAATTAGCTGGGCGTGGTGGCAGGTGCCTGTGGTCCCAGCTACTCAGGAGGCTGAGGCAGGAGAATGGCGTGAAGGCGGGAGGCGGAGCTTGCAGTGAACCTAGATGGTGCCACTGCGCTCCACCCTGGGTGAGAGAGCGAGGCTCCATCTCAAAAAACAAACAAACAAAAAACCCCACGCATTCACCTGCCTGCCCATCATTCTGTCTGTCCACACGGGCATCACTTGTTAATGGAGCCGAGTGCCCACTGTCGAGCTGACAAGCCCACAGCCTACCTGTTCCTCGTCACACATTAATTCTTCAACAAATCCCTTTTGATAGATTGTGATTAAGCTTAGCTGCTAGTTCCAATTGCTTCCCCAAACGTACTTCTCACTGTTCTCCCATCACACCCTTCAGCCCATCCATGCGGGGTTCCTTTGCTTTTCCCACCTTACACCAAACTCCCTATTTTCACTCCCACTTTTACCTCCTCTCCAAGACAAAAGAAACACAACTAGCATTTTAAAACTTAGTTGTAATCTTTCTTCCTTCATGAAAATTTCTCCAACAGCCACTCCCATGGCCCTGTGTGTTCCAGATATTTTTAAATATTGGCTGTAAGGTTGAGCGCGTCAGGATATGCCGTTTTGGCTGTGTGCAGATGGAGGCAGTGGCTGGAGTGAATGAAGGACAATTGCTGGCAACCGGCAGAAGCTGAGAAACAGGGAACAGGCGCTCCTCCAGAGCCTCCAGGAGCCAGGCCTTTGGACACCTCGAACATGGGCTTCTGGGAGACCACATGTGTCTGCTGTAAGCAACCCAGACTCTGGCAGTTTTTAGAGCCACCCCAGGATGCTCATCCACACCTGTCTGACAAGGGCAAGCTCCAAGGAAGGGATTCTTTGGGTATCTACATTGTTTGAAGATTTTACAATAATCATTTATTCTTGCATGCCTAATCATCGTTAGCCAATACAGGTAAAATAATAAAGAAATGACCCACATTTTATGTTAGGAGTTTGATCTGCCATTTGTCAAGTATGGAATCTTGAACAAGGGGTTAAACATCTGAGTGTCTCTATCACTTGATCTGTAAAGTGGGGGTGCCCACATCCACCGGGCTCCCCTCCCAGGCTGGTGCTGGACTCTCCCTGGGTCCCTGTTCTCTCACCAGCCACATCCATTCTCCCTCCAGAATGGCGCTAGTGACTGTGTGTGGCTTTCCATTCCCACCACATTTGTCTCTAACTCCGGCAGCAGATCAGCGTAAGCTGAGTGCTCCTCTCCTCCTCGCCCCTTCAGGGGTTCCTCAGCACCCACCGGATCAGGTGCAAACTTCCGAGCCTCGCTGGATCCCCTCCACATTCTGAGCTCCACCTGCCTTCCCATCCCTATCCTTCCCCACCCGCCTCCCTGGCAGAGAAAAGCTGAGTGTGTGATGCTGTCTGAATGCTGAGCACGGCCTTTTGCAGCCGGTCCACTGCGTACGCTGTCCCTGTGGGGGACCTCCACCCTAACCCTTTCAGCCTGGAGCCTTCTCCCAGGGCCCCACGACAGAAGTGACTTCCCTTGCCTTTGAATTCCTATAGCACAAGCCCTACTGCCCCCCATTAAAACTGCAAAGTCCTTTTGTGGAAAATAACTTTATTCATGATTGTGTTTATCACACTATTTTATGGAGAATAGGTGATCAATAAATATTTGCTGAATAAATGAGTAACAGTTACTAAACACTTGATTTATATAGAATTAACGTCGGTTCTCAAAGTGAAAAATTACAAACAGCACTGATACTCAGCCAGTACACACGAGTCTGGTCATAGCAGTTATAAAATACTGAAATACCCCCTGCCACTGACCTTTGGCCCCCAGATGCCTCCCACTGCCACTGCTCTCCCCCCTGGGAGCACCTGGACTCCCCATAACCTGCTAACTAAAGGGCTAACGTCTTGCACAGCAGGAAGCACCCAGGACTGCGCAGCCACATGGCCGAGTCCACTAGTGAAAGCATCCATTCTGACTGATCAGGACCTGAGGACCCTCATTGTTAAATATTTTGATAATATCCCTGATTATAAATAAGGCTCAGTTATATAGTCTGAAAACGATGCTTCTCCTCATTACAAAATCTCTTAGAAGACTCAGAAGACTCCATAGATCCAGGAACGGAGTGGAAAATGATAGCGTGTCAGTCTCTGAAGGTTTTGGGCATATCCGTTAGCATTCCATCTTCATGTAAACCAGAAGATACGCAGTTTCCTGCCTAGAGAGAAGAGAAGACACATCAGCACAGCGGCATGAAATCTTCGTCAGAAAACAACACTTCATTCATCTATGACAGAACAAGCGTCAGCAAACTTCCAGGCGGCTGGATCAAGCCTTGTCTATCCATCACCTCGGAGAGGAACAAAATAGGCAACCTGGGAAGATGCACACTACATTTCTTTTCTTTTTTTTTTTTTTTGAGACGGAGTCTCGCTCTGTCGCCCAGGCTGGAGTGCAGTGGCCGGATCTCAGCTCACTGCAAGCTCCGCCTCCCGGGTTCACGCCATTCTCCTGCCTCAGCCTCCCGAGTAGCTGGGACTACAGGCGCCTGCCACCTCGCCCGGCTAGTTTTTTGTATTTTTTAGTAGAGACGGGGTTTCACCGTGTTAGCCAGGATGGTCTCGATCTCCTGACCTCGTGATCCTCCCATCTCGGCCTCCCAAAGTGCTGGGATTACAGGCATGAGCCACTGCGCCCGGCCCACACTACATTTCTATTAGTTAATATCTAAAGAGGAGGTTAACAAGCTACAGGCCAAATCCAACCCCTCAGGGTTTTTAAAATCTACTTTCAACTTTTATTTTAGATTCAGCGGGCACACGTGCAGGTTTGTCACGTGAATACGAGCATGCTCCCAATAGTTAGTTTTTGACCCCTCCCCTTCCTCCTTCCCCATCCAGCAGTTCCCAGTTGTTGCCATCTTTAAGTCAATGAATACCCAATGTTTAGCTCCCATTTATAAGAGAGAATATGCATTACGTTTTGTTTGTTTTTGTTTGTTTGTTTGTTTTTTCTTTTTGAAATGGAGTCTTGCCCTGTCGCCCAGGCTGGAGTGCAGTGGCGCAATCTTGGCTCAATGCAACCTCCGCCTCCCAGGTTCAAATGATTCTCCCTCCTCAGCCTCCCGAGTAGCTGGGACTACAGGAGCCCACTACCATGCCCGGCTAACTTTTTGTATTTTTAGTAGAGACAGGGTTTCACCGTGTTAGCCAGGATGGTCTCAATCTCCTGACCTCATGATCTGCCTGCCTCAGTCTCCCAAAGCGCTGGGATTACAGGTGTGAGCCACCGTGCCCAGCCTTTTGTTTACTTTTTGACGAGACCAGTTCTTGCTCTGTCACCAGGTTGGAGTGCAGTGGCACAATAGTAGCTCACTGCAGCCTCGTGTTCCTGGGTTCAACGGATCCTTCTGTCTGTTTTGGCTTCCTGAGTAGCTAGGACTAGGGGTGTGTACCACCATGCCTAGCTATAATAACTTTTAATTTTTGTAGAGATGGAGTCTTGCTTTATTGCCCAGGCTAGTCTTGAACTCCTGGCTTAAAGTGATCCTCCCGCCTTGGCCTCCCAAAGTGCTGGGATTAAAGGTGTGAGCTCACACCCAGTCTCCAAGCCTCTTTTTGCAAATAAATTTAACTAGACCCCAGCCATGCTCCTCTGCCCACACACTGTCTATGGTTGCTTTTGCTCTACAGGGCAGAGCTAAGTGGTTGCAACAGACACTGTACAGACCACAAAGTCTGAAATACTTTCTCTCCAACCCTTTACGGAGAAAGTCAGCCAACCTCTGATCTCAATAATAGGGAAATCAATGACAACCACAAAGTGACAAAGATCGGATGTCTAAGACGGATGCTCAGAATAAACAAGAGAGAAAAATGAAAAGTAGAAGGAGGATTTCAAACGTGAGCTTCACCTAATCCGTTACTTTTCAAATGACCAGGCCTATCTGTGCAGCTGGAAATCATCTCCAATAGCATCTCTGATACACAATCTCAAAGCTCAGCCAAGAAACTTACAAAGTCTCTCTGCTTTAACTTCATCCACCTTTTTTCTCTCCAGCTTCTCCTCAGTAGTTAATGATTATAAAAATATTTATTGACCAGGCACGGTGGCTCACGCATGTAATTCCAGCACTTTGGGAAGCCAAGGCGGGTGGAATCACGAGGTCAGGAGATCGAGACCATCCTGGCTAACATGGTGAAACCCCATCTCCACTAAAAATACAAAAAATTAGCCATGCGTGGTGGCGGGTGCCTGTAGTCCCAGCTACTCGGGAGTTTGAGGCAGGAAAATGGTGGGAACCCACGAGACGGAGCTTGCAGTGAGCCGAGATCCCGCTACTACACTCCAGCATGGGCGACAGAGCGAGACTCTGTCTCAAAAAAACAAACAAACAAAAACAAAAAAAAGAAACAACAGTGTGATGGCCAGGCATGGTGCTCATGCTTGTAATCCAAGCACTTTGGGAGGCTGAAATGGACGTTGTAATCCAAGCACTTTGGGAGGCTGAAATGGACGGATGGCTTCAGCCCAGTAGTTTGAGACAAGCCTGGCAACATAGTGAGACCTCACCTCTACAAACATTTTTTTAAAATGTGCCAGGCATGGTGGTGCATGCCTGTAGTCCCAGCTATTCAGGAGGTTGAGGTGGCAGGATCGCCTGTGCCCAGGAGGTCAAGGCTGCAGTGAGCTGTGATCACACCACAGTGCTCCTGCCTGGGCAACAAAGCAAGACTCCATCTCTGAAAATAAAATTTTAAAAAATGATCTTTGCTGTAAAAGAGGTATGCTTAAATGCAAGAAAAGCATATAAGAAGGCCAGGTGTGGTGGCTCATGCCTGTAATCCCAGCACTTTGGGAGGCAGAGGCGCGCGGATCATGAGGTCAAAAGATTGAGACCATCGTGGCCAACATGCTGAAACACCATCTCTACTGAAAATACAAAAAAAATTAGCTGGGCCTGTTGGCAAGCACCTGTAGTCCCAGCTACTCAGGAGGCTGAGGAAGGACAATCGCTTGAACCTGGGAGGTGGAGGTTGCAGTGAGCCAAGATTGCGCCACCGCACTCCAGCCTGGCAAGAAAGCAAAACTTTGTCAAAAAACCAAAAACAAAACAAAACAAAAAAAACATGCAAGAAGCCTCCACGAATCTGGGTGAATCAGTAAAGGCTTTACAGGGTAGGAAAAGACCATGAGTATGAAACATGAGCAGGGAGTTGGCCTAGATGGTAAACGAGGAGAGGACAGTACAGCCAGGAAGTGCGCGTGCACAGCAGAGGGGAGATGGAGGGCACGGCTGTTTGAGCTACCTGCACTTCGATATTCCTGGAGTGTGACGTGTGAGGCAAGCATGGGGTGGTGGGGTGAGTGTTGGAGATGAGGCGGACAGTGAGCCACCAGCATGTTAGTAACAGGGGAATCCACAGGCGTTTCACGCAGCTCCAAGGACCCTATGTGAGCTCATCAGGCTCCTGTTACCCAAATCCGTTTCTTACCAGTGGTAGTTGGGATTTCCGTAGGTACACTGGATGTCTTCCCAGGATACCTGGAAGCCAGAAACAAATGGGGTCAAGCAGCCAGCTGACACTTACAGGCACCCACAGAGGACAGGGTGCTACAATGTACCCCTCATCCTCCAGACAAGCCCACCTCTAGCAGCTCCCAAGAGCCTGGAGGATCAGCAGCAGGATGCCATGTGCAATGAAGTCTTTTCAGCGCCCTCGTCCCTGCGTTTAAACTTGGTCATGCTTCTCCCAGAGGCCTAACTTACATATTTCTAACTCTCCTTGCTCTCTGGACGTTCCCCACGAAGCAGGAAGCCGCAGAGCATGAGCCTAGAGCATCAAACACTTAGAAATGGAGGGAAGTGAACCCTTACGGAGGTGCAAACCACATGGGGACTTCAGGCCAAAAAAGGCTTGAACCCTCATCAAAGGCCCCACACCGAGACAGTGGGACCACCGTGTGTCTTGATCTCAGACACCCACACAGTCCCGGGCCCAGCATGTGCTAGAGGTGGCCAATCCAGGGCAGGAGGCAATTGTGGATGATGTTTCTCACCAAGCAAATATTGGAGTCATTGAAGCAGAACCATTTTCCATCCACAGCATTCCGGATATAGACACAGTAATGACCGGAGTCTGCCACTCCCACGTGTGCAATCACAGCGAAAAGCTCATACTGCCCTCCAGGCTGGAAAGAGACAGGCACGAGACAGTTCACCCACCGCCACAAACATGACTGCCTCACACATTTATACCTGCCCACCCTAGGCCCGACTCTGGGACTTCAGAGTATTAGAAAACAGTCCTGACCCACGGCCGGTGGGCACCCTCCAGGAGGGGCTTTTCTGAGTGTGGATCCTGAACTGCGAAGGCTCAGCAGCTTGGCAGAGCACAGCACACAGGAGATGGAAGGCGGGAGGTCACGAGAGAGGCCCCCAAAGCCAAGGCAAGATTAGAACTTTCCCCTGGGAGGGCTGGGGGTCATCAGAACACAGTTCTGTTTCTCCACAAGCCCAGGAATGGTCCTAACCTGAGCCACCGTACCCAGCTAAAAGTCTTTTGTAGGTAGAGGGGAGACGGACGGCAAGGGTGGCACACGCAAAGCTGGGTCACCCACAGTGGAGGCTGGAATTATCCCTATTTTCATCTGCAGACTTTGTGCAGGACTTTACAAAATGCAGGGTAATATCTGTGTCTAAATATTAGTTTACAAGAAATAAAAGGGTTAGAGGAACATGCTAAATGATACCAACCAGCCAGTGCTGGCATATTAAAAAATCTTCAACCGAATCAACTGCAAGGAAAAGAAAAGGAGCAGAAATCTAAAAGGAACTTAAGAAAAGAAAGAAACTTAACCAAATGTAAGTGTAGGCATCGTCTGCATCTAGATTCCAACAAACCACATAGATTATACAACAGGCAGGAAGTCTGAACGTTGACCAGATATTTGATGCTGTGAAGGAATTACGAGATGGAGATGGTTATCTTTTGAGTGCTTATTCTTTAGGGACACCTAACAAAGTGTTTACAAATGAAACAGTATGAAGTCTGGGATTTGCTTCAGAAAAAATCCAGTACAGGGTTGGGTGAAACAAGAGGGTGGGTTATAGGACAAGCAAGACCTGCCATGAGTTTGGTAACTGTTACAACGAGGATTCACTGTCTAATTCTTCCTTCACTACACACCCTGATATCTATTTGTAATGTTCCATAACAAAGTCTTTTTTGTTGCTATTGCAAGAAGATGGAGTCTTGCTTTAGTGTCCAGCAGGGCTTGACTTCTGGACTCCAGCAATCCTCTTGGCCTCCCAAAGAGCTGGGATTACAGGCATGACCCACTGCACCCAGCCAAAAAAGTCTTTTTTAAGTGAAAAACAATTTCAAATATACTTCATCGGGCAGAATCTGCAGGTAGAAATAAAAAGAACTAGAAGGAAAGAAAAAGAGAATCCCATGAAACGTACACGGCCTAAGTAGGTAAAGAAATCATGTTATAATAGGAGCTATTATAACATATTATCAGGCCTTAATTTTCTAAATGCCATGGTTCTATAGCATAAATAGCCAAACAGACCAATAAAACAGAAGAGACACTCCAAAAATAGACCCGTACATGTGAGAATACAAAATTTGCTATGTAGCATTTCAAATCTATAGAAAAAAGATATTTGTGTCTTTTTTTTTTTTTTAAGTTTTTCTTGTTTTGTTTTGTTTTTAGAGACAGGGTCTTGTGCTGTCACCCAGGCTGGAGTACAGTGATAGATCACAGTTCACTGCAGCCTCAAACTCCTGGGCTCAAGTGATCCTCCTGCTTCAGCCTCCCAAGTAGCTGGAACTAAAGGTTTGTGCTACCACACCCAGCTAATTTTTTTTTTTTTTTTTTAAGAGATGGGGTCTCATTATGTTGCCCAGGCTAGTCTCGAACTCCTGGGCTCAAGCAATCCTCCTGCCTCAGCCTTTCGAGGTGTGGGATCACAGGCATGAGCCACATTGCCTGGCCTTGTGTCTCTTTTTTTCTCAGAATCTCTCAGTAAGTTATTATCTCAGGACAAGTGAATTAAACTTTACTCTGATTAAATGTGGTCCAGTCAACTGGCTACTTTATGATTATCCTCAAAGTGGGCACAGGCCATTTGAGGAAGAAAGTTTGGTTGGTACTAAGAACCCACAATGACATGTTTGCCTATGCATTTCAACGTATTCCACATTATTTCCAAAGGAGCCTACTGAATTCTGGATTCCGTCCCTCAGTGCTGTGAGGCACATGAACACAAATCCAATATTTAGAAAAAAGAAAGTCTTTCGAGGTTGGGGACAGTCTTTAAGGAATAGGTGGCTCCTAGCAGACTGGGGGTGAAGGAAGGGAAAACGGAAAGGATGAGGCGTCTGGAGGAGGCAGGACGGCCAGGAGGTCGGGAGGATCCCACCTGCTCCTCAGCATCACAGGGCTCTCGCTCCATTGGAAGGACCTGGCTGAAATCCAAGCTCTCGGGGAAGTGCAGGGTGTGGCAGATCTTTCTCGTCTGTGAATTCCTGATGGAGAATCGCATGAGGTGGATTGTCAGGGTCTGGGGCAAATGGGTCAGCTTCAAGACCTGAAAAAGCAAAATCACTCTTTTGAGATGAAGTCCACTTGGAATGGGAGAGTCAGACAAATGTCAGGGCTAGTGACGCGTTCTTCCCAAAAAGAGGGAAGCAGGGTGACATCACGGAGTTTAAGGCTCCTGTTCACTGAATCTGCTGAGCTCCTCTGAGAATAATGCAAAACCTGGCTATTCTACCACTGTGTGGCCCCCCACAAGAGGCACAAGGGCACAGGGCTCTGCACAGGCGCCAGGACCAGGGGAGCCACGGCACCTGCTCCAGGGAGCTGGTTTCGCCCCCAGGGAAATGCCCTTACAGCTGCTCTCAGGACCCCTCCTCTGGTCCCTCTCAGTGATGCGACCATGAGAAGCCACATCCATGGCTCTAGACATCAGAACCCCAGCGTCCCAGATACTAGCCAGACCCAGATTCCCTTTCTCACCCACCATGGGGTGTCCTCGGGCCTCTGATGAAATCAGAGAAATCAGGAAATCCACGGGGGGCAACCCCAGACTAGTGAAGGACAGATGACCCCTGAACAGCACGGGTTTCAACCGTGTGGGTCCACTTATACACAAATTGTTGTAAATAAATACAGTCTGCCCTCCCCGATAGGCACGAGTTCCACATCTGCAACCAAACGCTCATCAAAAATACAGTATCCCAGATGCACAACTGCATAGATGAGGGACTGACTTTTCCTATGCATGGGTTCCACAGGGCCGACTGGGTGTGACTTGAGGGTGTGTGGATTTTGGTACACACAAGGGTCCTGGAACCAATCCCCCATGTGCACCGAGGGACAGCTGAGTCTGATCTAGGGTATGAGTACCTGTTTCCCACGGGTCTTCTTCCCACAGTTCTTACAGAAGCACTTGCTTTTGCTTGATAACTCCCTGGGCTGGAAGAAGCAGTGCAGGGCGTCCTCCTGTCCCACCCAAGAGAACAGGGAAAAAGCAGTGTTGGTATTTCCCACCTAGAGTACTCTATTCTGTTCTCACACTGCTGTGAGACAACAGCTAAGACTGGGTAATTTATAAGAAAAGAAGTTTAATTGGCTCATGGTTCCACAGGCTGACCAGAAGCATGGCAGCACCTGCTTCTGGGGAGGCCACGGAAGCTCCTAGTCATGGCGGAAGGCCAAGCAGGAGCAGGCGTCTTACATGGGAGAAGTAGGTAGAGAGCGAGTGGGGAGCTGGAGTGCAGTGGTGAGATCTCAACTCACTGCAACCTCCACCTCCTGGGTTCAAGCGATTCTCCTGCCTCAGCCTCCCAAGTAGCTGGGACTACAGGCTGCACCACCATGCCCAGCTAATTTTTGTATTTTTAGTAGAGACAGGGTTTTATCATGTTGGCCAGGCTGGTCTCAAACTCCTGACCTCAGGTGATCCACCCACCTCAGCCTCCCAAAGTGCTGGGATTACAGGCATGAGTCACCACACCCAACCTGGCTCCACACCTTTTTTTTTTTTTTTTTTTTGAGACGGAGTCTGGCTCTGTCGCCCAGGCTGGAGCGCAGTGGCCGGATCTCAGCTCACTGCAAGCTCCGCCTCCCAGGTTCATGCCATTCTCCTGCCTCAGCCTCCCAAGTAGCCCGCCACCTCACCTGGCTAGTTTTTTGTATTTTTTAGTAGAGACGGGGTTTCACTGTGTTAGCCAGGATGGTCTCGATCTCCTGACCTCGTGATCTACCCATCTTGGCCTCCCAAAGTGCTGGGATTACAGGCTTGAGCCACCACGCCCGGCCATGGCGCCACACTTTTAAACAACCAGATCTCATGAGAACTCACTCACTGTCACAAAGACAGTACCATGGGGGATAGTGCCAAACCATTCAGGAGAAAACATCCCCCATGGTCCAATCTCCTTCCACCAGACTTTACCTCCAACACTGGGGATTACAACTGAACAGGAGATTTTTGGGCAGGGACACAGACCCAAACTGTATCAGGTACAGCCTCCCCACACTTTGCAGCTGAGGGTTTCAGCTTTTCTTCTGGTTCTCCTCATATCCCCTTAATGCCTGGCCTGGTGTGGTCCATTTGGCAGGATCTCAAAGGGCACCTGCTGACTGGAGGAACAAAACAGGATGGGGCTCCTACTAAGGGAGCAGTATGAGGGAGGTGGAGGTAGGAGGGAAAAGCATTTTTGCCAAAACAAAGGAGAAACTGGCCAGAGCCATGAAAATGAAATAAGCGACTTTTCAGAAGCCAGAGATAGATCAAAGAGGCAAGGGGGAGTTGGTCACACTGTGTTGTGTGGTTCGATGGTTTCCCCAAAACCCATGTTGAAACTGAATCCCCAATGTGGCTGTATGGAAAGGTGGGGCCTTTGAGAGATAATTGGGGAGGGCAAGGTGGCTCATGCCTGTAATCCCAGGGAGGCTGAAGCAGGTGGATCGCTTGAAGTCAGGAGTTTCAGACCAGGCTGGCCAACATGGTGAAACCCCAACTCTACTAAGGATACAGAAATTAGCTGGGCATGGTGGCGGGCCCCTGTAATCCCAGCTACTTGGGAGGCTGAGGCAAGGATCCTTTGCGCTCAGGAGTTGGAGACCAACCTGGCCAACATGGTGAAACCCCAACTCTACTAAGGATACAGAAATTAGCTGGGCATGGTGGCGGGCCCCTGTAATCCCAGCTACTTGGGAGGCTGAGGCAGGAGAATCGCTTGAACACCAGAGGCGGAGGTTGCAGTGAGCTGAGATTGTGCCACTGCACTTCAGCCTGGGTGACAGAGGAAGACTCTGTCTCCAAAAAAAAAGCGGGGGTTATTGCGTCATGAGGGGCACAGACCTCATGAATGAATTAATCCACTCATGGATTAAAGGGTTAATGGGTTATCCTGGGAGTGGGACTGGTGGCTTCATATGAATAGGAAGAGAGACTCCAGCTGGCGGCACATTGGCACGCTCAGCCCCCTCGCCATGTGATGCCTTGCACTGCCTCGCCTCAGGACTCTGAGACTCCCCACCAGCAGGCAGGCCCTCACTAGGTGCAGCCCCTCAACCAAGACTTCCCAGCCTCCAGAACTGTAAGAAATAAATTACCTAGTCTCAGATATTGAGTTATCACAACAGAAATGGACTAACACATACGGGGGCAGCAAATACCAAGAGAATCCCCTTACCAGTGTCTTCAGGGGCTTTGAGTTCACATCAAAAAGAGACAGTGGAAGGGTAAGCATGCTGCTGTTTCTGCTACTCTCCATGGCACAGTCGAGGCAAATCAAGGAGTCCTTCACCCGGATCATATACAGGGCCTGCAGCCTCTCCACCTGCAAGAGGGAGAGCAGAGAGGTGAGATGGGAACACCACCATAAGCCAGGTCAGGCCAATTGCCAGAAGGTGGAGCCAAGAGACAGAAGCTCTAGAAATGGTAGCCACTAATGCTCTTTGTCCTACTCACAAAGGTGCAAAATATTACCAGTAACAATATTATGAAACTGTGATAAGTGTTTTATGTGGATTAACTCTCTTATTCCTCTACACACTACAGGAACAACAGCTGAATGAGTTAAATGAGCAGCATCTTAAGCTTCCGAGTGCTCTGGTTCTAGGTTCTTACCAAGTGCACATCAGTGATCTGGTCCTTGATCAGGTTCCAGAGTTTGAGGTAGAGTTGGGCGGCATCATGCTGGACAAACACTAGCCACAGAGAAAAGGAACAGCCAATTAGTGAGGCCTTCAGAGTCACCTCTCATGCCCTAGTATCTAGACATACATGAATACTCACCATTTTGTCTCTTCCTAGCCCTCCACCCCACTGCAAGGCTAAGTTGGCACTATATAAGAGGTGATCAATAAACGAACAGTAAGTTTGGTATTAATTTTTGAGAACGTCTCTTGAAACTTAAGCTCCAGTGCCAGGTGTAGTGACTCGTGCCTATAATCTTAACACTTCAGGAGGCCAAGGTGGGAGGATCGCTTGAACTCAGGAGTTTGAGACCAGCCTGGGCAACAAAGCAAGACTCTGTCTCTATAAAAAATTTTAAAAATTAGTTGAGCATAGTGGTGCACACCTGTAGTCAGAGCTACTTGGGAGGCTGAAGCAGGAGGATCACTTGAGCCCAGGATGTTGAGGCTACAGTGAGATGTGATGTCACCACTGCACTCAGCCTGGGGAATGAGATGTCCACAGGGACTTTGAAAAGCACTGATACATTCCTGAGGATCTAGAAGGCCAGGCACATGCCCAAGAAAGACCCAAAAGGGCTCCAATCCCTCCCCTCTGGCTGACCACAAGGCCACGTGCAAGAAAGCAATGAAGGCAAATACAGAATCATAAACTGCCCAGTAACAATAAAACAGCAACAACAACAAACCCTGGTGTGGGCATCTCTGATGTCCAGTGTTGCCACCTTACATCATCTAAAATGTTCATTTTCCAACAAAAGAGACAAGACACACAATGAAACGGAAAAGTATGGCCACATACAGGAAGACAGCAATCAGTAGAACCTTTCACTGAGAAGCCCTAGATGTTGGCTTTACTAAACAAAGACTTTAGCTGTTATAATATGTTCAAAAAATTAAAGAAAACCATGTCAAAAGAAGTAAAAGAGCCGGGCCCGGTGGCTCACGCCTGTAATCCCAGCACTTTGGGAGGCCGAGGCGGGCAGATCACAAGGTCAGGAGATCGAGACCATGGTGAAACCCCGTCTCTACTAACAATACAAAAAATTAGCCGGGCCTGGTGGCGGGCGCCTGTAGTCCCAGCTACTCAGGAGGCTG